CCTGGCAGACCAAGCCATGGCAGGCTCAGGCAGCAGTTCACCATGGGGCAAGCATCTGTTCAAAGCTGTCCTGATGGTCCTAGTGGCCTTCGTCCTCCTCTACTCAGTATCATCTGAGCCCCGAAACTTTGCACCACCGGGCCAGCAGAAGAGGGAGGCCCCTGTCGATCTCCTGACCCAGATAGGCCGATCTGTGCAAGGGACCCTGGATGCCTGGATTGGGCCAGAGATCACACGCCTGGTTTCAGAGGTAAGGAAGAGAGTCCTGCTGTGACTGCATGCATAAGGAATGGTAAAGGGAGAGACAGCGCTGCTCCTGGCCAGCCCATCTTGGCTCCACATCTTCTCTGTGTCATAATCCCTAGTGCAGAGAGGCCCAAATGCCACAAAAAGAAGCCAGATGGTACCTGCCTTGTGCTCTCTCATTGTTTGGTTCCTGTCCTAGGGCCTTTGGCTCCTCCCCCATCTTTCCCTGGCTCCTGCCCTTTCTTTACAAGAAAGACTGAGGAATGAGCCACCTTTGCCAACCCGTCACTGGGTGACCGTCACTGGGTGACCGTCACTGGGTGACCGTCACTGGGTGACCGTCACTGGGTGACCGTCACTGGGTGACTGTAGAGTCTGACTTTGGTCTAAATCTGACCTAAAGTCTTTTTTTTTTTTTTCTTTTTATTGTGCTTTAAGTGAATGTTTACAGAGCAAATTAGTTTCCCATTCCATAGTTGGTACATAAAGTGTTTCATGACCTTGGTTACATTCTCAATGTGTCAGCACCCTCCCCATTTCCGCCCTGCGTTCCCCATTTCCTTTCATCCTGATTTTCTACCCCTTCCTGCTTTCTCATCTTTGCTTTCGCGCTGATAATAGCCTTTTGATTTCATCTAATTGGAGAGTTCTAAGGAGTGCGTTCCTCTCGGGTGTTACTGTTATCTTTGTGCTTGTCTATTGTTTGGCTGGGAGGTGGTCTTGGGGAATGGCTTCCTTTCCAGGCCAGAAGGGGGTCTTAGGGCCATAGTCTCGGGGGTTGACCTAAAGTCTTAAGTTGTCAAATACCAAGACGTGAATCATTTCTTTGCCTATAAGGATTTTTTTTTTTGGAGGGGGGGTGACTTAGGGGCTTAAGACAGGCTGTCTCTTCAGCCTGCTGGCACCCCAGGGACAGCGCTCCATGCTTTGCTGGGTCATACTGACAGGCTGAGACCATCATTTGTAAAGTCCATAGCATAGTACAGTTGGTTGACTCCATCTTCATTGACAAGTCCTAGCTCTTTACAGACATCATTTCACACATTGTCATGATTCTCCTGGAGGCTAGGAGCACCCCAGTTTTACAGGGTGACTACTGAAAGGGTTTGATGGTGTCTATTCCCCCACGTACACATACTCCTACCACCAAAGTCTCCTAGCATATCAGCTGAGTGAGACCCCAGATGTCCTGGCTTCCAGTTCAGGAAGGAAAGGTGGCCTGCTGTCCATGCATGTGCACTGCAAGCTGGCTGTGGGGACCCCAGGCAAGCCTGGGACCCACAGACTTCTGACCCAAGCTGCTCCGCAGTGGCTGAGAAACAGGCCAGAGCCATTCCTGCCGACCTTGCCTTGCCCTGGAGGTGGTGCTTGGGCTGGGAGGGGCTTGGGCTGGGAGGAGAGGAGCATCATTAATTATGGACTCATCTCACCTGTACTCTTTCCACAGACCTTGTCTCAGGTGATGTGGGCCTTCTCATCAGCCATCTCTGTGGCCTTCTTTGCTCTGTCTGGGATCGCCGCACAACTTCTGAATGCTTTGGGGCTAGATGGTGAGTGACAAAGAACTAGTTAGGTCACGAAGAGCTTGGCCTGTGACTTCTGTTGTGGGAGCTGATCTCTGTCAGGGTCAAGACCTTTCCAAGCTGCTCGACTCTTCCCAGGGTTCCCCGGAGGCATGGCTTAAGAGCAGCTGATAATTATAACCATGTACGTGGTGTTTAGGTCCCTGGGTGGTACAAGCAGTTTGCCCTCGGCTACTAACCTAAAGGTGCTGCGGAAGAAAGGTCTAGCAATCTGCTTCTGTAAAGATTACTGCCAAGACAACCCTATATGGAGCAGTTCTACTCGGTAACACATGGGGTTGCCATGAGTCAGAATCGACTCTACGGCAATTTTTTTTTTTTTTTTAACCAGGAGTTTACTTCATGGCAGGCACCATGCTAAGCTATAGTATCTCATTTGATTATTAACCACAACTCAACGAGGCAGACAGAATTGTTCCCCATTTACTAGATGAAACAGAGGCTGTGAAAAGGGATGTAATCTGCCCGAGGTCCCACAGCCAGCAGGAAACAGAACTGAAATTCAAACCCATGTCTCGTTGACTCTGTGGGAAGGGATTATTCACTTGCAAGGGGGTTAGCGCCTGCCAGCCTGTTTGTTTCTTGCTCCCCCGTCCCATCACCACTTCTCCAAGTTGGCTGACACTGTGACTCTCCTTCCTTCCAGGTGATCACCTCACCCAGGGCCTGAAGCTCAGCCCTGTCCAGGTCCAGACCTTCCTGCTGTGGGGAGCGGGGGCCCTGGTCGTCTACTGGCTGCTGTCCCTGCTCCTCGGCTTGCTCTTGGCCCTGCTGGGACGGATCCTGTGGGGCCTGAAGCTTGTCATCTTCCTGGCAGGTTTTGTGGCCCTGGTGAGGTCGGTGCCTGACCCTTCCACCCGGGCCCTGCTGCTCCTGGCCCTGCTGACTCTCTATGCCTTGCTGAGCCGGCTCACTGGCACCCGGGCCTCTGGGGCCCAGCTGGAGGCCAAGGTGCGGGGGCTGGAGCGCCAGGTGGAAGAGCTGCGCTGGCGGCAGAGGCGCGCAGCCAAGGGGCCCCGGAGCGTGGAGGAGGAGTGAGAAAATGCCAGGCAGTGCCACCTGCGTCATACCAAAGAGCTGAGCTGCTTTTGGTTGCACAGCCTCCCCCCAGCCCCCTACCCTATTCTTGCACTGTCTCTGAACCTCCGGAACCTTTGCCTCTGCGCCAGACCCCCTAGCCAAGCAAGAGGCAGGCCATTCCCCCTGCTGGTCCCCAGGGGCTCTGTCTCCTGAGGTTCTCTGTCTGGGTTGGTTCTCATAATGCTTTCTGCCTTTCCAGCCTGTTTTAGCCAGGGCAGGTTGGAGGGCCTCAGCTCCAGCTTCTGCATCTTCTCTCAGCCAGCGTCACTGCCACTGGTCTCCCCTGATGTGACCAGCTCCCCCTGCTGCTGCCTTGCCCCCTCCTGCTGCTTTTTCTTGCCTGTCCTTCTATAGCTCCTCCCTTGCCAAGTCCCCTGCTCCTTTCCTGGTTTCCTCTTCCTTCCAGCCCTGTACTCCAACCAAAGCACAGTCCCTCAAGGCAGGCCCCTGTCCTCTTCACTGCCCAGCAGTGGGGAAGAAGCCAGGGATGTGGGGGCCTGAGGATGAGGGGATACAGGGTCCCCTGAGGCCCATGGTAGAGTTCCAGCATGGGACTGGGTGTGAACACGTACACTGAATTTGTTACTAGTGCCTTAATCCAGCCAGTGGGGCCCTCTGCTTGCCCGTGGCTGTACTGTGTGTAGGCAAGTGGACTGTGGCTGCTTCGTGTCAAGAAGAGAGCAGCCTTTTTCAGAATCTTGATTCCCCTTCCACCAAAGCAAAAGAGGGCTGCTTTTTCATAGGCTTGTGCCTGCAAGTGGGACCCCGCAGTGGCCATCAGGTGCCCTGTGGGCATTCAGAGACCTTGAAGGAGGAAGGTGGACCATCTCTTTGCACAGTCCAGGCTGTTCCGCCGTCTCCCTCCACTCACTGCCACGGAGGTGTTGCTGCTCAGGGTCAGCCTAGTGGCCCAGAAGGAGCACAGAAGCGAGGTTCGTCCCATTGCCTCTTTTCCTTCCCGTGCTCTGTGGGTGGGGGCAGGGTGGGCCTGCTGGCTAACCCCTCTCTAACCTGGTTCTTGGTGGTGAGAGGCCACTTCTTCCCTGGAGGCTCTGGTAGGGGTGGGCATCCTTCTCAGCCAGGCCTGGCATATGATGTGAAGAATAAATGCCCAATTCTTACTGTTAACGGTTTGATGTGGAATCACAGCTGCAATGATATATGTTTTTATCAGCGCTTGGTTGGTTTTAAATAAAGTGCACGCTATTTTATTATCTTGTTCTATATAAAATATATTTATTTAAAGTCTGGATTGCTTTAATTTCTCTCTCTACTGCTAAACCCATTTCCGCAGGGCCGCCCTGCCTTCTTGACTTCTCCCTGTAGGGGCAGTGTGACTCCAGCTGGCTGAGGGGTGACGGAGGAAGCAAAAAAGGCAGGCTGGCACCAGGTACCCTCTCTTCCAGTGGAGTGAGGAGGATGTGCCCCTATCACAGGCCTTCCAGGGACCAGCCAGCACAGTTGGAATAGTAGAGGGGAGGGGAGCTGGCCAGCAGCCAGGAGGAGACCGGCCTGCCCTCCTCATCCCCACACCTGACCCCAGGCGTTCACTCAGACCCAGGTTGCGATTTGCTTTTAAATAAAATCTGCCCTGGGCTCACCAGCCTCCTGCCTTTCCGTCAGTGCCCTGCCTCTCCCTCAGTGCCCTGCCTCTCCCTCAGTGCCCTGCAGGTCTCGAAGCCCCTGCACCACAGTTCTCAACCAGGCCCATAGGGTGGATCAGTTGTTCTGTGGAGAGGCACAGTTTTTTTCTTTTAAAGCTGTCCAGGGGATTAATGTGCAGCTAGCTCCCCTGCCATGGACCTCTCCCAACATTGCCTGGCAGGCAGGGACCCCTGAGTCAGGCCTGCCTTCAGGAGAGAGACCAGCCCTCACCTTTCCCAGGCCCACAGGCCTCTCCCTGGGCTGGGACTGAGAGTGAAACTGAAGCTGCCTGCACCTGGAGCCTTTCTTGTGCAGGGTGGCCCAAGGCTCTGTCAGGGCAGGCCCAGGTGGTTGTCAACTGGCCCCATTCGGCGCTTCCTGCCTCTGCAGGCCTGCTCCCCTGGGTCGCTGAATTTGGGTCTGATTCAGGTGTCAGATGCCTTTACAGGTGAGCTGCTTAGGGGGAGGAGGTGTGGGAGAGGAAGTGGCTTTTCCCTCCTTGGTCAGGAACTTCCTAAAGGAAGCCCAACATCCCGTGTCCCTCCTGGCAGACGCGGGCCAGTCCCGGGTTAGGTCGGGTAGGTCAGTCCGGAGGGAAGCGGCCTCCCCTGACCTCAGATGCAGGGGCGCTCTGCGCGCTTCGGATCCGCAGGGCACTAGGACCCGGCGGGCCTGCGGAGGGGCAGCCCACGTGCTGCTCGCCTCCCTCCCACCCTCGCGCCCACTCCATTGTCTGTGAACTGCGGCCGCGGGGCGGTCGGCTGGCCCGGGAGGCGCGGAGCTGGCGCGGGAGATGCCGGGCTAGACCGCGGCCGTCTGAGCCGCCCGCCTAGTCCCCCGCCTTCCGTCGGAGGATGTGCGCTCGGGTGGCGGGGCGCGCGGCAGCGGCCCCCGGGGTGTCCTGCGGCCCCTGGCTCTGCCTCCTGGTGGCCCTCGCCCTGGACGTCGTGAGAGGTCAGCGCGGGGGGGTGGGGGCGGCGGGGCCGGGCGGGACGGATGCCGGCGAGCCGGGATCCTCCGGGTGCTCAGACTAAACCCAGAACAGGGGCGCCCCCCAGCGTGCCCTGAGGGCTGGAGAGATCTGAACCCCGGGATGCTGTCCCCATCCGCGCGCCCCTATTGCTTCCCTCACCTTGTACAACCCAGCAACTCCTTCCTGACCCAGGACCAGCCCAGCCGGGGCGCTCCTACGCCCCCTCTCCCCTCTCTTTCCAGGAGCTTCCTCTCCAGCCTGGCATCTAACCCGGCTGCCTCTGGCTGAGCTGCTGCTGTCCCGGCGCACTAGCGTCCCCTCCTCTCCCTCATCTGCCGTCCGTAGAGCTGCACTCCAGTGGCTCCTAGCCACCACCCCCATCATACCCACTTCCCAGGGAAGGGGAGCAGCCCCGTTGCCTGGGACATGCGAGATAGCCTCTCAGCCCCTGCCCTTGCCCCCAGGAGCGCACTGACCTTGTGCCTCTGAGTCCTTGGAATCTTTACCCCTAGAAAATGTGCAGCGGCTGTGCTCTGCCAGGGGTGGGGGTCGGACGCTCCTTGGGTGGGTTGGGGAGGTGGGCTGTGGCTGCAGAGTGGATGGTGCCACAGGAAAGAAGTGGAGGTTAGTGAAGCAAGCCCCTCCCCGCCCCCCTGCCAGAGCTGAGCCCTGGGTGATGGGAGTCCATGGCAGTCAGGCCACAGAGCACCTTGTAATTACTGAGTAATGGAGAACCAGAGGCCAGGGGCCAACCCCAGGGAGCAGCAGTCACTCACCTGTTACACTTGGGACTGGCAGGGGTCAGACATGTGCTCCCTGGTGGGGAGGGCTGCCATGGAGGGCTAGGCGGTCCAGTCCCTCTCCCACCTCCAGCTCTGGAGTGGGGTGGCTGATGTGAAGTGGGTGGGCTCTGGGGCTGCTTTCAGCCACCTGCTCCCCTCCCTGAGGGACCAGGCGGGAGCCCTAATAACCAGAGAGACTCATCGCATCTATTATGCAGCAGTCATAATGCCTCTCCCCCACCTGGAAAGCACTCCACAGTTTACAAAGGCCTGCCCGGTCACCTGTGTCACTAAGTGCTGCTACAGGTGAGGAAACAGAGGCTCCAGGTTTCCTGAGGCAGAGCAAGGACTTAAACCCAGGTCTGCATACTCCCAGGACGTTCTCTCTAGGGAGGGCTTCTTGTTAGAGGGATTCTGGATTGAGTAAGACAAGGCGTGGTTGATAGACAGGAAGATGACTAACTCAGAGGAGGTGCTGGGCTGGGGGTGGTGTGGGGGGGAGGCAAAGAACTGAGGAGGCTCATGGGAGGGTGAGCAATCAAGGAGGGCTTCCTTGAGGAGGAGGCAACTCATTGGCCCTGAAGGAGGAGGGAGGCTGCCACTGGGGAAACCTACAAGCTCTCTCTTCTAACAGTGCAGGGAGGAGGGAGAGGCAGGGTAGACTAGTGGTTAATGCCTGGGCTCTGCCTCTCATCTCCACCAAGCTCCAGCTGGGGAGCCTCAGGCAAGTATCTTAACCTGTCAGCCTCATGTGCATAAAATGGGGTTCATTTTAGAACCTAGTCCATACAGTTCCGTTCTGCTTTAGCTACTCTACATTCAAGAGTAAGTTTCAGAGTCTCTTCTGACATCGATTTTGGTCTTTTCTTTCTTTCCTGTCTTCTTAATGACCTCTTCCTTTCTTCACGTATGATGTCCTTGACGTCATTCCACAGCTCAACTGGTCTTCGGTCACTAGTGTTCAGTGCGTCAAATTGATTATTGAGATGGTCTCTAAATTCAGGTGGGATATACTCAAGTGCATACTTTGGCTCTCGTGGACTTGTTTTAATTTTCATCAGCTTCACCTTGAACTTCCATATGAGCAGCTGATGGTCTGTTCCGCAGTCCGCCCCTGGCCTTGTTCTGCCTGATGATATCGAGCTTCTGCATCGTCTCTTTCCACAGATGTAGTTGATTTGATTCCTGTGTATTCCATCTGGTGAGGTCCACATGTATAGTTGCCATTTATGTTGTCGAAAAAAGGTATCTCCAATTAATAGGTCCTTAGTCTTGCAAAATTATATCATGCGATCCCTGGCATCATTTCTATCACCAAGCCCATATTTTCCAATTACTGATCCTTCTTCTTTGTTTCTAACTTTCACATTCCAATCACCACTAATCATCAGTGCATCTTGATTGCATGTTTGATCAACTTCAGACTGCAGAAGTCGGTAAAAATCTTCAATTTCTTCATCTTGGCATTAGTGATTGGTGTGTAAATTTGAATAATAGTCCTATTAACTGGTCTTCCTTGTAGGCGTATGTGGATGTTATCCGTATGTGGATGTTATCCTATCACTGACAGTGATGTACTTCAGGATTGATCTTGAATATCACACACAAGTAAAATTCTTCTGAAGATAATTAAAATATAATTGCAGCAGTACATCGATAGGGAACTGCCAGAAATTGAAGCCGGACTCCGAAGAGGACCTGGAACGAGGGATATCATTGCTGATGTCAGGATCTTGGCTGAAAGCAGAGAATACCAGAAGGATGTTTTTACCTGTGTTTTGTCGACGATGGAAAGGCATTCAACTGTGTGGATCATAACAAATTATGGATAACATTGCAAAGAATGGAAATTCCAAAACACTTAATTGTGCTCGTGTGCTCATTTGAACAGAACAATGGGATACTGCGTAGTTTAAAGTCAGGAAAGGTGTGCGTCTGGGTTGTATTTTTTCACCATACTTATTCAGTCTGTATGCTGAACAAATAATCCGAGAAGCTGGACTATATGAAGAAGAATGGGGCATCAGGATTGGAGAAAGACTCGTTAACAACCTGCAATATGCAGATGACACAACCTTGCTCGTTGAAAGCAAAGAGGACTTGAAGCACTTACTGATGAAGATCAAAGACTACAGCCTTAAGTATTGATTATACCTCAACATAAAGCAAACAAAAATCCTCACAACTAGACCAGTAAGCAACATCATAATAAATGGAGAAAAGATTGATGTTGTCAAGGATTTCATTTTACTTGGATCCACAATCAACACGCATGGAAGCAGCAGTCAAGAAATCAAATGATGTGTTGCATTGGGCAAATCTGCTACCAAAGACCTCTTTAAAGTGCTAAAAAACACAGATGTCACTGAGGACTAAGGTGTGCCTAGCCCAGGCCGGGTATTTTCAGTCACCTCATATGCATGCGAAAGCTGGACAATGAATAAGGAAGACTGGAGAATTGACGCCTTTGAATTATGGTGTTGGCAGAGAATATTGGATATACCATGGACTACAAGAAAAATGAACACATCTGTCTTGGAAGAAGTACAGCCAGAATGCCTCTTAGAGGCAAAGATGGTGAGACTTTGTCTCACGTACTTCAGACATGTCATCAGGTGGGACCAGTCCCTGGAGAAGGACATCATGCTTGGTAAAGTAGAGGGTCAATGAAAAAGAGGAAGACCCTCAAGGAGATGGATTGACACAGTGGCTGCATAATAGGCTCAAACATAGCAACGATTGTGAGGATGGTGCAGGACCGGGCCGTGTTTCATTCTGTTGTACGTAGGGTTCGCTATGAGTCAGAAGCAACTCGATAGCACCTAACAGCAACAACAATCTGTAGAGTTATTACTAAAACGAAAAGAGTTAGTACATGTAAAATTGTGTAAAATAATGCCCTGCACACAGTTAAGTGTTCAAAAAATGTTAATTATTATTATTAGGACTAACTATTCATCAATTAAGGAGCCCTGGTGGTGCGGTGGTTAAGCGCTTGGCTGCTAACCGAAAGGTTGGCGGTTCAAACCTACCTAATGGCTCTGGGGGAGAAAAACCTGGCAGTCTGCTGCCATAAAGATTACAGCCAAGAATACCCTATGGGGAAGTTCTACTTTGTTACATGGGGTCACTATGAGTCCAAATCAACTTGACAGTACCCAACAATAACAATAGTCAGTTGGCACAAATCAAATATGGCCTTAGTCATCATTTGACCTCCAGGTTGTTGAATATTTTGACTATCTCCCCAGGTTCATGGCCCTCACCCCATCCCCAGGCACCCACATGGCTTCACAAACCATTTCAGCATCCCCCCAAAACACCCCTGCACTCCAAGACCCAGTCGGGAGAGGGCAGAAGGGAGCAAGCTTAGGAAGGTGGCCTGGTGTTGCCATGGCAATGACTGGGATGCCCAGCCAAGTCTGACCAAGGACCCAGGGTCAGAGGGAGAGTCTCTACTTCTACAAAGCTCATCTCTTCACAGCTGTTTACCTACTAGGCCCCATTTGGGGAGAGTCATACCCCACAAATGCCATATTGGTATCAGAGGCAAGTAGGCAGGGGACAGGAATAGAGGGTGAGGAGCATTGAGAAAGTTTTGCTGGAGGGAGGAAGGGACGGGTTGGAAACTGTCATCCAGGGATTGTGGAACAAGTCCTGGACTCCAATTCAAATCCTGCCTCTGTTACATTCTGCTTGTGTGGGGTTCTTTCAGTCAGTGTCCTCATCTGTGAAATGGGAGATTGCCCCCACATCCCAGGGGATGGAGCATTTACCTTTCTACCTCACCACCACTTTGCCCCATGGTGGAGCTCAGTTCAGGCCCTGGCAGCTCAGGAGCTCTCACCATCCCCACCCCTTCTCCCTCTTTAGTGGGCTGTGACCAGGACCCCCTGAACTCCGTCTACCTGCCAGCAGCCCTGGAGCTCCTGGATGCCCCTGAGCACTTCCGCGTGCAGCAGGTGGGCCGCTACCCACCGGCCAACTCCTCTTTGGGCTCCCGATCTGAGACCTTTCTGCTCCTGCAGCCCTGGCCTAGGGCCCAGCCGCTCCTCCGGGTCTCCTACCCACCCTTCGCCACTCAGCAGGTAAGGAGGGGGCACAGGCACTCCCAGGGTAATGGACTTGGAGCCTGAGGTCTGCTGTGTGCGGCTCAGGGGTGATCCCCAGCACCCACTAGGTTTCCCATTTCCCATATAGGGAAACTGAGGCCCACAGAGGCTCTCTCCTGGTATCCCATCTTCCCAGATCCTGCCTCCTCATTCTCCCTCCAGGTGGTCCCTCCCCGGGTCACTGAACCCCACCAGCAGCCAGTCCCGTGGGACGTGCGGGCCGTGTCGGTGGAAGCAGCCGTGACTCCAGCAGAGCCCCACGCCCGCGTCCTCTTCCATCTCAAAGGGCAGGATTGGCCGCCGGGGCCTGGCAGCCTGCCCTGTGCTCGGCTCCACGCCAGGCACCCTGCAGGCACTGCTCACAAAGCCTGCCACTTCCAGGTGAGTGGGTGGGCCCTCGTAGGCCAACCTTGACAGTAGTCCTGGGGTAGGGAAGAAAGAGCTCAGACCTCATGGGAAGTTTCTGCTCTGAGAGCTTTCACAGGGGCCTGTGAAAGGGTCATTTAGGGCTCCTAGGGGGTTAAGTCCATGTGTCTGACTTTGATGCAAATAATGTAATGTCTCTGAGCGTCAGTTTCCTCATCTGTGAAATGGAGTAATAACAACTCCTACCTCATATGGGGTTGGAGTAAAGAATAAGTGAGAGGATGCAAGAATAACCCTTAACACAATGCCCGGCACAGAGTAGTCACTCAGCAAATGTGTGCGTTATTGTTGCTGTTACCTTCATAATTGCTGTCTCCATTATTGGAGTCTATTACAGGAATCCACTGGAGAGAGGTATTTTGTGGCCTTTTAGAATCTGAAGGAGACCCTGGGTGATACAAACGATTAAGCACTAGATTACTAACCAAAGGGTTGGCAGTTCGAACCCACCCACCCAGAGGTTCCTCAGAGGCAAGGCCTGGCAGTGTGCTTCTGAAAGGTCCCAGCCTTGAAAAACCTATGGAGCAGTTCTGCTCCACACACATGGGCTCGCCATGAGTGGGAATGGCCTCAATGGCAATGGGCTTGGGATACTGAGAAGCCCAAGTTGTTGCCAGTGCAGTCCTAGGGCATAGTTAGGGTGAGGCATTGG